CGGGGAGGAGCCCGGGCTGCGGCTGAGGCCGCGTCAGAGCAGTGCTCCCGCTGCCCGGCGGCTCAGACCCGGCCCGAGCGCCGCCGAGGACGCGGACGGGGACCTGCTCGGGCACAGGCGCTGCGCCGGAGGCTCTTCTCTCGGGCCAGGGCTGCGCGACCATGGCGGACAAGGAAGCTGGCGGCAGCGACTCTGGGCCCCGAGGTGAGCGCAGGGCGCGGGTCCTGCGGCTGCGGCGGGGCGGGCCGGGGAGGGATGAGGCGCGCTTGGCCCGGCTCCTCGCAGCTCCCTCGCGGGCCGCTGAAAAGTGGGCGCCCCCACTCCATCCTGCCCTAACGGGTGGGGCTGAAGTCAGCGCCGCAGCGGGGCCAGAGGGCCAGGGGGCCAGGGGGCCAGGGGGCCGGAGACGGCCCACCAGTCACGTGCTCCTTTCCCGGTCGGGGTGCGGACACTGCGGCGGGGACCGCAGCCCCCGCTCGGGCACCCTGGCCGTCCCTGCCGCGGGGTGGCGCCTCCTGCGGGGCCCAGTAGGAGTCCGGGTGAGAACCGCCCCGCATGTCCATCCCCTGCGCGCTGTGCGGGGACGCCCGCGCTTGTCCGGTAAAGGGCCGGCCGCGGGGTAGCCCCGTATCCCCAGCGGCTCATTTCCGTGACTCAGCGAGGCGGGGGTGGGAACCTGAGGGAAATCGAAGATTTGGACCTGTCCCCTCACCCCGCCGAAGCCGGACGTACGCGCCGGGAGTGGGGCTGCAGCTCTGGGCCGAACTGCATCCCACTCCCCTTCCCGCCCGTCCCCGGGGACTCTCTGGGCTGAGGAGGGACGGAGCGGCTGGGGCTCGACTGTGCCCTCTTTGTCGGGGCATGGGGGAGGGAGGCGGCGCCCAGTGCGGAGGACGGACGCTCGTATTCTGCAAGTGTGCCAGGGCCGCTTTCTTTGGCGAGAGTGGTTAGGGCTCAGATGGATGGAAGGATGGAAGGGTAAGGAGCGAGAGAGGACCCAAGATCAGGGGAAAGAGGAGTTGCAGCTCTGGGAGCCCAGGGCTATAAATCATGGCTTCCCCAGCGGAGGGGAAGGGCTGGCCAGGATTGTGGGTCCCAAGTGGGGAAAGTTGGGCGCTCGGAGGCGCTGCGGGTCCTTGACCTGCAGCGCCTGTGGCAGGAACAGCCGCTGGAGGGGACCATGGCCGGCGGCTTCCCCGGGAGCGACAGGGCAGGCCACCTAGCAATGATGGAATTAAAATGCTCGGGATGTACGGGAAATTCATACAGGAAAGGAGCGCTCGGCTCTGCGGGGACCCCGGAGCCGGGGAAACTGAGTCAGGTGGCAGCGCGGCCACCATGGGCGAGGGGCTCGCAGTCATGCTGTGGCCGCGGCCCCCGCCCTCTGCTGCGCTCCGAGCGGCACCTGCCCCCTCCCCAAGCCATTGTTCCTGCGGATCTGGGAGGTGCCATACGGCACTGCAGTGGTAGGGGAGTGCAGGGGGAGGGGGAGATCCTGACACGGCTCTCTCCTGGGAGGGACCCTGGAGGGCCCAGGCCGTGCTCAAACAGGCGTCCCAAACCTGCCTACTCTCCTGCCCTTCCCTAGCCGGCAAACACGCACCAGGGGCCACCGGCTGTCTTTGTTTGAACATCACTCAGCAACTGGATTGATTCTTTTTTTTTTCCTTTAATCTTTTCCTTTAAATTGGAAAAAGAAATTAGGATGGTAGGGTGGGGCATCGGAATTGTTAAGAATTGCTCAAGCTTAAGTTAGCGAACCAGTTTCTTGCCTCTCATGCTGGGACAAATAGTGGTTGGCTGTATCAAATGCAAGGTCAGCCCTAGGATTTGTCAAATCAAAAGAGTGAGCAGGGATGTGCACTCCCACCCCCAACTATTTTGTCTTGTAAAATCGAGTTCAGCACCCTACCCTCCACAGACCCCCCCCTCCCCCCCTCCACACACCTGGGCACTGTGTGGTTGTCGCTCCTCAGGCTGGAGAGCTCCCCATCCAGGATGGAGAAACACATACTGGGTGTGCTGGCCCACCTGCCACTGCCTGCCTGTGTCTATTCTAGAGTGTGTCTTCACTTCTAGTGAGCTGCAGTTCAAGGCAGCCTTGAGAATTCCTGGCATGTGCACTTAGCAGGCAGAGCAGGCTGTCCCTGGCAACTCACTGCTTCTCTCTGGGCTCCCATCTCTTCATCTGTAAAATGGGAGATATTAACAGTATCTCATCGGAGCAGAGCCTGCTCATCCCGCACCCCACACATCTATTTAAGGTTTCCTCATTGTGTATTCTGTACTGGGCAATGAACATGCATTATTTTATTTTTCAAAGCATCACAACAAACCTGTTACCAGCATTCCTCTTTTACTGAGTAGGGAATCTAAAGAGAGGTTGAATGACCTGTCCAAGGTCACACATCTAGAAAGTATTGATTTGGACCCAGGCCATCAGATTCCAGGACTCCAGCCCTTCATCACCATCCTGTGTAGCCTCTGTGGGTTTGGTTGGTGGTTGCCATTCTATCAGGGACATAAAAATGGTTGTTCTTTAGGGGATTATTTCAAGGATGCGCTTGGTGCAAAAGAATGAGTGCCTCAGGCATGAAACTGTGTTGGGGCTTGTGAGCAGTGGGAGCTCCAAGTGGTCAGGCATGCCAAAAGGGCTGGTCATAAAATCTTTCCTGGCACATCATGTGGGGTTGCGGTGGGGAGTGGGTGGAGGTGCCTATGCAAAAAGAATGGCGGAATGTTGGTAATTGTTGAAGCTGGGTGATGGGTACATGGCGATTCATTACTGTTCTGTTTACTTTGTATATGTTTACAAATTTCTTTAATAGAATGTTTAAATTAGTTAATTTACAAAATCTGAAGGGCCAACCTTTAATCTCTGGAGTTTTGGACAGCAAAGGCTAAGATGACCTTCAATCCTGCCCCTACCTCCCAAGACCGAGTTGGTAGACACATGGAACCCTAGAAGGATGAGATGAATTAGGGGGGAGGCATGGATGGTTCAGGCTGGGCTAGCTCCAGTGGTGACCGGGTCAGGGCTAGGTGTGGGCAGTGGAAACCTAGTCATTTTCTCTGGTGGGGGGAGTGTTTGAGGAGAGGAACAGCAGGCAGGGGGTTTTGCCTGGGTTGGGGGTGCCTCTGGAAGTGTTGCTTTGGGCTTTGAAGATGGGATTCTTACCGTCCTGGCAGTTAATCATAATAAAAATAAACATTTTAAACATAGACACATATTGAGGACTTAGTTTATGCTGAAATCTAGGAATGTTGAATTATTGTATGGCCCTGACCACATTTATTATTGGATGAACGACTCTATGGGGGGGCCCTGTTACGCCCATTTCACCAGGGAGAAAGCTGCCAGGCCCAGGGTGGCACAGCTGCAAAGGGGCTGAGTGAGGGTTACGAGGTGGTCAAGAGGTTCAGCCTCTCCTAGCACATGCCTGGCGTCTAGTAGGCCCTTAGGGAATTGAATAGCGTGTCTGAATGAATGAGCGCATGACTAATAGAGTGTGGCTGCCCCACTTCCCTAAGGCCACCAGACTACAGATGGAAGTGGAAGGGAGCTGCGTGTGGCTCCCAAAGGAGCCAAGAAAAAGTTGAAGTGATGCTCTGGGTATCAGTGGTTAGGGCTCTAGCCGTGGGATCCACTTCCATGTCCATACCTGCCTCTATAGCTGTGTCCCCCGCTTCTGTGGTCCCTACATATCCCCCACACCGTTTCTTGTGTTTCCCAGAGCTCTGTCCTTTCTTTTGGCCCTCATGCTGTTCCCCCTGCCTGAAACATTCTCCCTTTGTCTAGCAAACTCCTACTCATCCTTCAAAACTCAGTTCAGGTATCACTTCTCAGGAAGCCTTCCTGGACTCATCCATCTGGGTGAGATCTCGCCTGTGTGGTCCCAAAGCCTTTGGTACTAACTGTTGGTAATCCCAACCAGTGTTCATTGAGTGCTTACGATGTTCCAGTTTTATATGCATATATCCCATTGACTCATCCGACAACCCTATGAGGTTGGTGTTATTATGACCCCATTTTGCTGATAAGACAATTGAGGACTTGAGAAATTTGGTAACTTGCCCAACCAATGAATCAAATCACCCAGCCCATGAATGCTGGAGTCGGGATGTGAGTCATGGAGCCTAAAAGATTGTGCTCTTTCTCTCAATGCCTTTTCTCCCAGCAAGGGCAGGGACTGTGTTTTTCATTTGCATATTCTTAGAAAGGGCTCATAGTAGGTGCTCAATAAATGTCCTACTGTGTGTTAAGTGAATATCAGTGAGCAAGACATGAGGGAGCACAGCAGGGAGGAATGGCATCCACATCCTGCCCACTCCACAGTGGAGTGGCGCTTCTAGAAACAAGGATGCTCAGGAGTGGGCGGAAGCTGGAGGGGGAGGCGGGCGGGGCTCAGTCAATCCCTGAAGAGATGCGACTTTGATTCCAACAAGGCTTTGAGTGACGACTCAATCTGTGGGGGCGAAATGCTCTCTCATCTCATAAATAGGCCTCTTTGGTAAGGAAGAAAGCTTCTTTATTATTGCTGCACATAATTAGGATGGCAGGGAGGCACCAGGCTTTAATGAATGAGCAGCATGTGGCAGGGCACAAGTGCCTCCCACCTGCAGGCACGTGGGGTCTGGGCATCGCCTGGAGAGCAGGGTGAGCCTGGGGGGGACCCCCAAAGAGTGCAGGCACTGCTCAGAAATGATGCTGGTCCCACCACAGCGGGCGCTGCAGATCCTTGCGTTTCTTTTATTGCAAATGACTCCCAATCCTGCTCTTCTCCGAGATGTGCAGTAACAGTAACAGTAACAGGTGCAGAGGGGTAGAGGAGCAAAGTGGCTTTGGAGCCCAAGACTGCGTGTGAACGCCGGCTAAGCTCTCCTTTCCTGGTCTGTGAAAGGGGCGCATGGTGCCTGCCTAGGTCTGCTGTGGGAACAGTGGAGATAACGGATGGGCAGGAAACAGTTGTTTAATTTATCAAGTTCTTTCCCCATAGGAGGAAGGGAGAGGTGGCCTTCCTGCCTCTACCCCGCAGATGCCCACCGGGATTGCCGTACCTTGTGTGGCGTGGGCGTGTCCAGCTGCTCTGCTTTCTTTGGAGGCTTTAGGGGGAGGGCAGATTCTGCTCTGATTTTTCTGACCTGGGGCTGCGTGAGGAGTATTTTCAGGTCCTGATCCCTTTAGATGTGCACTACTCCACTCG